CAGCTCATTTTTCACAAGTTAGTAGCCTAGAAACTTCGTTATTTTAGTGTTCACAAACCAGTCTTGATAATCACATACACTTTATGGAAGTCTGAATACCGCCTTGAGTCTATTGATCACATCACTCTAAGATATACATCACTGTTGTGCAGTAAAACCTATGGGTAGTGGGGCATGGTTATCTTAGAAGTCTCCTACTTGCACTAATCTTCACAGTATAAAGGCTGGCTTGCCATCAAGGTACTCTCACGAGTCTGTAGGGGGTCAGAGTCTGATATCCTTATCAGCAGTCTTTGACATCAGAGCAGCCACCTGGTTGTGGTTTCATAAGATGGCTCTTGTTGGGACAGTAAGTACTGCCTGGTCCTGGTCTACCGGGGTAGTGAGACTTGGTGCTGGTAGGACTTCGGGGAGGGTTTTTTTTTTGTAAGTCCAAAAAGGGTGTGGAGAGGGTAAAGATGGAATTCATTAAAAAACAAAGGAAAACCACTAAGTCCAAAATCAAACTTCATTTTTTATACAACATAACATGCATACAAACAAGTATTGAAAAAGTGAGTCAAATTTAAAAGACTTGAAAATTTTCTAAGTCCAATTCCGATCTTACTTACCAAAATATCTTCAAGTCCTGCTTCTCTCTGTAACAAAGTTTTCAACAAAAATATTCTAAGTGTCACCAGCTCTAACAAGCCTACCACCCCTCCCTAAAAAATCATATTTCCCTTCCCCCCAATGAGTGATCCCCTCCCCCCGTAAGAGTGATCCCCTCCCCCCCATGCAAGTGACCCCTCACCCCTGCTACAGTTACGCCCCCTCCCCCCAATTTCAATTTTCCCCTCCCCACCCAATGTAAGTTAGACCCAGTTGTTATTGACGATATTTTATTTATTGTTTATACTCATTTTTTCTAAATCAAATTGTCATCCAGAATATGACTTCAAGATTATGATTTCTTTAGAAAGTGGAGATGTCAATTTGGATGTTGGTCTTTGTAATATTTTCAAATTCCATTTAACATTTTCATTGCATAAATTTGGACTGGTCAATAGACCTGGTTCCTGATGGTAAGAGTCTTGTTTGGCTATCTGATCATTTACTCTGCCAAAAGCCTCAAGTTTCAAAACATTAGAAAAGTTGTGTTTTTTTTCCTCTACAACATTCATTATGCCTTTGCCATTTTATCAGGAACCAGGGTTCAGTCAATAACAACTGGGTCTAATGACTGTGTGTGTGTATGGTTTATATAATATATAGTAATGACAACAGACAACAAAGTGTGTGCGTATGTATGCATGTATATGTATGGTGTATCAGTAAAGATGAACGCTATCAAACTATTCATGACAAAATAAATGGTGCCACATAAAATGTGAAGACTATATTTCAAACCCCAAATAGATCCAAGTAGAAAATATATCATTCAATCAGGAATTAATTATTTATTCAGTAGAAATTGTGCAGCCAAATTATGCTTTCTTTCCGAGATTGCATTAGATTAACTTGTACATTTAGTTTCAGGGGTGTAATATAACGTTACGTAGACACCACACCATTTCATTCATTCTTGATCATTCTAAATTTACTGTGATGACTTAATACTGATGGTACAACGAAACGTGCAAGTTTCTTATATATGGCTTCACCAAAGGAGTCATTAAAATATAAAGCCTTTTCTAAACACAAAGTACTGTTTGTATTTTGGATTGATTATTGTACCGCCAATAAAATATTTTTTTAAATAAAGAGCATTTTGTCATGAATAGTTTGATAGCATGGCTGTCTAGCAGTGATAAATCTGTTTGAGGCATGCCAGCAATTCTGGAACCAATGATTCTGAACTGCCACTTTAAAAAACAACTATTTGCAGCCTTCCCCAGGATTTCCATAGCATTTCTTCAGTAAGTTTCTTCACGATCATTTGAATATATCTTTTCTTTTAACATAGTGATTTTAGATCATTTACTTTAGGTGTCATAATAATGAATATCACAACAGACTCTTTCTTGACAGCTGGATATGCWTGGTTCAATTATTTCCCCTCGCATTCACATTCCTTGTTTCATACATGTGATAGCTATGATGGGATATTGTACCTAGCAGTTGTGAAAGATTCCCTGGYGACATGCCTCAAACAGATTTCACATCTACCAACAGCATCAAAATTATCTGTATGTTATGTGCAACCCTCCCCCCGAGTTTCACACCCTTTATTTCATCAACTACTAACTACTAATAATGTTATTGTGGGATATGGTTTGAGGCTGGTATTGGTTTATCAATCGAGAAAAATGAAAAAATGTATTTCAAATTAAAATAATATATAGTGACAAAGTCAGAATGAAACAGGAGAGCATACCTATTGATTTATCAAAAAATTGCAATAAAGAAATTTTTATGTTCAAACATGAACCAAAGTCAGTTTGTTTGACAACATTAAGGAATACCTGGCAATTTTTTAAAACCCATATAGAAATCATAAGTGCATGGCACATGAAAGTAAACACTGAATGTCCTTCTAGATAGAAATGCAGCAAAAATATTCAAAGTGAGAGGTCAACAGTCTTGCACCTTTCCTTTCACTTTCCTAGCTATTTCATTGTGTTGTGTGTCCAATAGCCGGACAGGGAAATGATACTTAGTGCCAATCATATAGAGTATGGAAACTCAAATTCTCATGGTCTAGAAATGAAATGAAATGAAAATGGAATGGCACATGATACTTAGGAATGAACGGGAAGACATCTTATTCACAATTCTGTCCACAYTCCCACTCAATTAAACCTATTAACTTTAATGATTTATACTTTAAAATGCTAACACAAATGCACAACTAGATTAATTCATACCGTGCCCATATTTTTACATAACAATGTTTCTGTTTTGAATAGCTTCTTGTACTTACCTTGTGAAGGGCAAAGTTCAGTATGTTTTTATCAAAAATAATCTGGTTATGAATCCAGAATTAAACATAGCCTTACCTTGATTAAATGTGACTGGTTTTGGATTCATAGTAGACTTGTTAATGATGAAAAGACAGGCAGCTAGTGAACCGACACATGAATACTGATTTGTCAAAGCATTAATAATTCATGAGGAAAATACAACAGAAATCACGACTGTGAAGAGTGTTGAAAATCTGATACAAAATTGTGTTCATTTGCAAAAACTTTAAGTTAGATTTTCTTGGCCAGATTCACTTTAATTTTGAACATTTTAGTGAAACACAAAGGAACTAACCTAGACGTTTGACAAGCAATCTACAGTATTCGTGTCCGTGTTGTATCCGATATACAAACGCTCAGCTACGCCTCAAGTTTATATTCCTGATACGACACGGCCACTCATACTGTATATATTACATAGCATCAATATAATGGACTGATAAGATACCCTGTTAACTGATGAACAGACAGACAGACAACTACTGAACCAAGATATGTATACTTGTATATCATAAATATAATAGACTGACTACCCAGTTAACTGAAGAACAGAMAGACAGAAAATTACTGAACCAAGATATGTATAGTAATACTGGTATAATAGACTGGCTATCCAGTTCAACCAAGACATGTATCTGGTAATTTATCATCATAATGGACTGATAGGATACCCAGTTAACTGACGAACAGACAGACAGACAACTACTAAACCAAGACATGTATACTGGTATATCATCAATATAATGAACTGATAGKCTACACTGTTAACTGATGAAGAGACAGACAGACAACTACTGAACCAAAACAGGTACACTGATATAACATCGATATATATGTTTTCTCAAGGTTGAGTGTGCATCCAAATTTAAGGAACTTGACAGGCCACAATACCAGAACAGGAGCTTATAATAAGAATTATAATACATTTCTATTACATTTTTCGATGAGAATTCATAAAATCGATTATTCCCTTCTTTAAATATAAAACTGGCTTCTCATTTTTACTAAATTTGTGGTTTTCAATTTTCTGGCCAGTCAAGTTAGATGCACACACAACCTTAAGAAAACAGTCTATTGGCAAGTTACCCTGTTAACTGATGAACACACAGACAGACAACTGAATAAAGATATGCATTCTGCTATATCATTAAATCATTGGCAGGAATGTGATTTACAGTGTATTCTAGCTGAAATTATAGTCAGAGTGGTAAATCCGATTACACATTTTACATTATCATAAACAAAGTTTATGTCTGCAGGTAGATGGTTGAACTGAATCTTTATTAGCAAATTAATTCAAAACTTTTATCTTTCTATGTCTACGAATAAATGCAATGGATTGCTAAGATGGTGACAAAAACATTCAAACTCAGCATTCTATTAAAATTAGTAAAGTTCAAGAAAAAAACCTAAAGGTTTGGAAGATCTGTTTTATGAAAAACAAATTTCTTTGATAACAAAATAAAATGAACAATGCTCATATTTTTTACCAATAAGCTTATTTGGATTTGTGGATCATAAGTTGTTAGATATAGTTCAGGGCAGTGGTTTATGTATATTGTTTTTAACCATTAAAATGAAAACAAGAAAGAATATTAAAATAACTAGCAGACAAAGAAAAWTGATCATGACAGACAGGCTCAAAGTTACATATCAATATTTGAGTACAGTTTTCCATGTCTTAAAATGAGATGATGATGCAAAACTGGGAAAATAATTATTTATTATTAATTAATACAGACAGGAGAATGTAAACCAAGACAACAAAATCCTCAAGAACCCCCCTCCCCTAGTGATGTAATACATGCCAACAAATATCAACTTGTAATCAAACACTCACAGATGCTACTAGATATATTGACATGATTACATTGATCAGATATTTGTACTTCCAAACTTCTACTTAATAAATGAGAAACCTTGACTCCCTGCCCCTCTGCCTAGATAAACACTGGATAAACATATACACACATCAGTCTAGCTACAAGTTATGTGCTGACTAGTTATGGATACTATTTTATGTCATTCACTTCTTAAGCACATGATATCATCAACATGAGAAAAGAGGACAACTATCGAAATATTCTACATCCTAAAACAAATGTTCTGCAGTTTATTTGCACTAAAATAAATGTTTTTTGTTAGTTTTCATCAAATAATGGCTACCACCAGTGTGGCCATAATGGTTTGGTTTTATGCTCTTAAAACACAAAGGTGTTGTAAAACAAAGTAAAGAAACTTGAAAACAAGAGAGTGGGGCTATTGAAGAAGAAAAGAAGGAAATCAAAGAAACACCAATCGAGATTGGAATCACCAAATTGCCACAATGTGTAATTAATGCCAAGGGCCTATGAGTGTTCAAGACCCTTTCTGACAACATTGAGAAGCTATGTGGGAAGTTGGGCGTGTCCAACCACAATATGGACAGCTCTGATGAAGTACTGTAGATGCTAGTTTGCGAATCAATGAAAAAATAATTGACAAGCTAGTCCATCAAAGGAGAGTTCAAAGTCTGGAAAATCAGCAAAAGTGCTGTTGAGAGTAGTGAACCTTCAAATTTGGCCTCAAGTTAGCTTACATTGAGTTGTAGCTTACATTAGGTATATGAAGAATTTGTAGCTGGATATGGAAAATGTAAAACTTTTGATTTTAATATGTTTGAACCACATGAAAGCCCCAAAGGTGCTGAAAAATTT